TTGCGCCCTGAAAAAGGTTATCAAACATTAGTTTTTTGATAATTAAATGAACTTCCATTAGCAATGTATACTTTTTACTACCTGGCGAAATATTAACTAGATTTATTCATTACTATGTTTGCCTGATTCAATGTATGTTATGTAAATCCAAAGGACAAACAATGAGAGACTTATGCAACAAACGTACATTGTTTGTACCTAAATAACTATAATATAGATGAGAGCATGTCATTGTTTTGTTCCTGTTAACATTGTCATTGATATTTTTCAAGAAAGTCTATGAGGCATAGCTTATGCATTCCTGTCATTACTACATTAGTATAATTACTGCTAAAATAATTCTCAGTATGATATACCTCTTGTAAGAAATCATTATAATTGTAGCAATCACCAAAAAATTTCAAACAGATCACATTGAATCGTAGTCCAAAAAATTATGACGTCTTGAATTACCCACCCCCTTTTATTCTAAAACGATAATTGCGGTTGTAAACAGACTTTGGTTTATTCGCATGGCGATTACATATATAACTATATATTTCACAAAGAAAATAGAGTTTTACCATGAATAGTTTCCTGCACGTAGTCTTTTTCAGTAAAACGTGCCTTGCAAACAACAGCTGATTGAGATGGACTCCACGATATCATCGTGTTCTCGTCCAATCTGCGTATGGGCCATGGCGTTGATCCAACTTTTCCTTCTTTTTAAGTCATTTGGAAATGCATGTCCTCCTCTTAAATGACATCAAGGTACACAACAACAAGTACTTGGCATCGTTAATTAAAAATATAACCGAAATAGTTGCACAGTGCAGAAACCGGAAGTAGAGGAACAGGATCCGCTACCACGGCGCCACCTATTCAGGAACGATAATTTGCTACTTTATATAACTGCGAAATTACAATAACGTTAGACGGGTTCACGTGCATAAACAGAAATTCGCTTTAAATTGTATAATATAATTCATGTTCAGTCGACCTTTAATTATTATATCAACGACTGAAATGATTTATAAACATCTAGATTGCAGATAACACTCGAAATTTACCCGAGCTCTTTCCACACGGAATTCAAATAATTCTAGTTTGTCAATCGGTTGACTGCTTATAATGCAAAATACTAATATATCAAAAGTTTTTAAAACTAACAAAACACAATGATCGTTTCTCTATTTCCCAATGTAAATGAAATGAAACAAAAAACATTTTATATCGCAATAAGAAGAGGAGAGAATTCAACATTTCCGGATCTACTTGGAGCCTAATGACCCCCCACGTTGATAAGTTGGATATCGCGGAAGGAAGGATTAACCCGGCAACTAGAAAGGCATTAAAGCACTGCCTTTAAAAACAGAACAAAACACAAAAACTTAACATTGACCAATGAACCATGAAAATGAGGTCAAGGTCAGATCTGCCAGACAGACATGTACACCTTTCAATTATTCCATACACCAAATATAGCTGACCTATTGCTTATATTTCTTGAAAAACAGACAAAAACACAAAAACATAACATTGACCAATGAACCATGAAAATGAGGTCATGGTCAGATCTACCAGACAGACATGTGCACCTTACAATTAGTCCATTCACCAAAAATAGCTGACCTATTGCTTATAGTTCTTGATAAACATATAAAAACACAAAAACTTAACACTGACCAATGAACCATGAAAATGAGGTCAAGGTCAGACGATACCTACCAGACAAACATGTACACCTTACAATCTTTCCACATACAGGTACCAAATATAGTTGACCTATTGCTTATAGTACTTGAAAAACAGACCAAAACACAAAAAACTTAACATTGACAAATGAACCATGAAAATGAGGTAACGGTCAGATGAAACCTGCCAGACTGACATGTACCCATTACAATTATTCCATACACCAAATATAGTTGACCTACTGCTTATAGTATTTGAGAAACGGACCTAATCACATAACTTTAATCTTGATCACTGATCCATGAAGTGAGGTTGAGGTCAGGTGAACTCTGTCTGACGGACATGTAGACATTGCAAGGAACCCCTATACCAAATATAGTTATCCTATTACTCATAAGTGAAAAATTCACATGACAAAAAACTCAATTTTTTTTTCAAGCAGTCGCTCAACCAAGAAAATGAGGTCAATGACAATGGACATATGATTGGCGGAAACGTCGTAACATAAGGTATCTACATACAAGATATGAAGCATCCAGGTCTCCTACCTTCTGAAATATAAAGCTTTATACAAATAGTTTGCGCCGCCGCCGCCGGATAGTTACCCGTCTTTCGTCGCAGGCGAGACAAACACAGTTCTCTGCATTTTACCAAACTTAGCATTAATGTTCTAGAAACAATTCAGAATAAACTTAATAATCCTATGATATCCTGCACTGAAGCACCAGTAGATGCTTTTGGTACCAGTCAACAGCGGGGAATTGTAACAGGGTGGGCACAGCTTCAAGCTTTGTCCTCTCTGCCCATCCTATAAAGTGAACATATTGTTTCTTTCCTATCAACGTGTAAAATCTATTGATATAAAAAGATAAGCATTTGTATTGAACATCTCTACAGAGTGGTCTTGGTTGCTATGTGGTAAAAGGACTTCATCTACAGTATTACTAGCCTATCAACACTGAGGTGAGTTCGAACTCTGCATGTGGTAGGTGCGTTAACTCTGATCTAAATTGACTAGGATTGCTAGTTTCCTGTCCATGGTCGGTGGTTCATTCTTCTCACTTTGGCTTTCTCTACCAATAACTGGCAAACACAATATAGCCAAGAGTGTTGAAAGTGGCATTAAACACTAACAATAAATCAATCAATCCGAAAAAAGATATAGATTTAAATGGACATGTATATGGATATTTGAGCTGTCCACCATTGGTGAGTTCAAAAAGGTCATGCACATGAAATGTAGCTGACTATTTGCTTTGTGATACCGTACAGCACTTAAAGTAATAGCCAAATCCATCAATCTCAGGTCAAGTTTGCATGAGGGAGTTAAAACCTTAGTTTCCTAATTATTTATATAAATTAATAAACGGACAATTTTAGTAAGGTTTGTAATAAATCATGTCAGTACCGAAGTGTGGACTACCGAGCTTATGACATAAGCAGCAGTATCGACCCAGTGCTGTAAAAAAGGAAAACAACACTAACATGACTAAGAAGCATTCTATTCACATCCAAGTTTGATAAAAAAATATTTAGTTAAACACATATCAAAATACTGTCCTTCGTTTACAATGTATAAATGTATACTTAACTGAAAGACGACACATATTTTTAGTGCAGGTTTTCATATATAAATCAAGTAATTCATACATAAATTTCTATTTGTTGAAGATTGTACTGTGACTCCTACATCCACTTCATTTGAACTCTGATAGATAACTGTCTCATTGGTAATTATACCATATCTTCTAATTTTTATATTAATTCAACAACTTCAATCTAAACGTTTATTTTTAGCTTATCCAGTGGTAGCATAAGGCTAAAAGTCCAACTGTAAATGCTCAGTGGATCCATACACATAGTTTGTTCTTAAGTTGTGCTGTAACACCACTGTCCGAGGTTAGGTGCCAGGAGGGTTGAGCGCTCACAAACATGTTAAACCCCGCCACATTATAAAGCATACTTTTTTTGGTAATTACTTGAAATCAATGATAATTATATTGGATACTGACAACAGAAATATCAGAAACAACACTTGGAGTTGCAAATCAAAAAGGACAATCAAATAGTATATTATATTTTTTTTTAACTCTGGTGGATAGTTGTCTCATTGGTCATATTAGTAACCAATTGAGCACTCAACCCTCCCCCTAACCTTGGACAGTGGTGTTACACTCAACATAAGAACAAACTATAATAAACAGTTTACACAGAGATATGTCTCGCCTGTCCACATAAAATTCAGATAAAGACATTCTGATGGACAGCAACATTGCTTATTAATTTAATAAAGTTACTGGACCATTATCTTGTGGACAGGGCCTTCAAATGGTTGACAAATTGAGATATACTGATAGTAATGCAACTTTATACAAAATATCATTGATCTGTCACAAGTAGTTCTTATCAAACTAACTTAAGCAGAAAACTTAACATTGAAAATTGCTAATTAATTCAAAGTTACTGGACCATGACCTAGGGGGCAGGGCCTCATAATAGTCGTCAAACAGATATGTATTGATAGTAATGCAACTCCATACAAAATATCATTGATCTATCACAAGTAGATCCTATCAAACTAACTCGAGCAGAAAACTTAACATTGAAAATTGCTAATTAATTCAAAGTCACTGGACCATGTCCTAGGGACCAGGGCCTCAAAATAGTCTTCAAACTGATATGTAATGATAGTAATGCAACTTCATATTAAATACCAATGATCTATCACAAGCAGTTCCTATCACACTAACTTAAGCAGAAAACTTAACATTGAAAATTGCTAGTAAATTCAAAGTTGCTGGACCATGCCCTGGGGGGCAGTGCCTCGAAATAGTTGTCAAAATGATATGTACTATAGTAATGCAACTTTATATTAAATATCAATGATCTATCACAAGTAGTTCCTATCAAACTAACTTAAGCAGAAAACTTAACAATTATTGACGCCACCGCTGTCGCTGGAAAAGCAATCCCTATGTCTCGCTTTCTGCGACTTTTGTCGCAGGCGAGACAAAAATCAGTTGAAAAGGGCTTAACTCATCAGATAGATAAAAAGCAGAAAAAACTCTAATAAAAACACAAACCGGACGTGGCAGGGTATTTATACATCCCTAACAACAAAAAAGACACAAAGTACAGATCTGAGAGTACTCTGATAATTCTATTTTAGCTGATCCAGTGGTAGCATAAGGCAAACAGTCCAACCTTTAAATGCTCAGTGGATCGATACACAGAACTTTTTTGGTAATTACTGATAATGAACCATAGGTATATCAGATGCTGATAACAGCAATATAAGAAACGACAATTTAAGTTGCAGAACAAAGAAGAAAATCAATCAGTCTATTTAATTCTTGTATATTTATATTTCATTATGTAGGGTCATTCACCAGCACTTTCTGTGAAATAGTTTGCAGCCAAACTTTCAAGCTTATCATAAGTTTCAATCCACTTTTGAGTTCGTACGACCCTTCTTCCTAATGTTGTAGATGAAGAAGAATCAGAAGGCCATTTTTTCCCTGACAAAGGTTTTTGTAATTGATGCTTGTATATCAACAAAACTTCTTCGTGCAAATTTTCCTGAAAGGTAGACTTTCCATGTCCTATTGTTTCATATACTTCATCATCAATTATATCTTGTTTAAAATTTTCTAAATTTAATGCCAACCATATTGAAACAATTGTACCAACATTTATGCCATTTTCACTCCAGGCTTCAAACAGTAACATATCATCTGATATATAAAGTCTGTCTCTTTTACAATTGTACATAAGAATTTTTAATTTAACATCCGAGACTAAAAATGATGGAATAAAGATATCTTCCATTTCTGGGTTCTGTTTTGCTTGGTAAAAAGCATTTGTAATTGTTTGAGCAAAAACATGCCTCAAAGCCTTTTCAGTTCTAAAAGCATAATCTTTATGCGTGTCTCTGAGACTATATGAATCTTTGCAATCAGCACCAGTACTGATAGTACTCTGTTGTTTTGCATCGACCATCATCTTTAACCTTTTTGTACCAGATTGTTGTTGTTCATTATCTTCAATCTCATCATCACTTTCGCTTTCTTCAATTTGAACTTTAACTGTAGATCTGTCAACCAAAATATGAGGATGTCCATACCAAGCTAAATAGTTTCCTTTAAAAGCAGAAATAATTTATCATTGAAAATAAGTACATGAAGTAAGATCAAAGCTAAATACATATATTTTGTTCATACCTATAACTTGGCATTGCACAAGGTTATGTTATCTCTGACTGTTAATGAGGTATTTACACTAAATCCATTGGATGGTTTACTGATTGATATATTTTAGTCTTAAACACATGATTTTTTATTAGTTGTTATTGGCTTCAAACTAGCTTTTAATAACTGCAAGTACTCTCAGATCTGTACTTTGTGTCTCTTGTGTTTATGTTAGTGTTTTATATGCATTGTAATTGCCTATAATTGCTTACATCCACTTCATTTGAACTTTTGTGGATAGTTGTCTCATTGGCAATCATACTACATCTCCTTATTTTTATTTTGTGTCGATCTGATAAGTTAAGCCGTTGTCATCTGATCTTTTTATTTTGTTCTTATGTTGTACTGTTACACCAATGTCCAAAACAAGGGGGTCTAGTGACAGCAAATATGTTTAACCCTGTTACATTCTGTATGTATCTGTCCCAAGTCAGGAGCCTGTAATTGAGTGTTGTCTTTTGTTGCTGTATATAATTTTTTTTTTTTATTGTTTTGTACATACATGTAAATCAGACCATTTATTATCTCGTTTGACTTTTTTTCAGTTTGTCATTTCAAGGCCTCTTTTTAGCTTACTATGAGGAATGGGTTTTGCTCATTGTTGAAGGCTGTACCGTGACCTAGAGTTGTTAACTTCCACGTCATTTGGTCCTTGGTGGAGAATTGTCTCATTGGCAATCATACCACATCTTCTTACTTAAATAGGTATAATACATGTGTAATTGGCTGCATCAGTACTAGTACTTGTACTGAAATATCATATCTATAGACTAAGTTAATTAGGTTGCATTCCTATTGGTATTTGATTTGAAAAGGGAAATAACTCCAATTTAAATTAATGAATCAAGATCATATGCATCATCACCTAAATAATTCAATCATCCCAGTAAATTCGGAAGTTTTCTACTTGTGAGAGCCTGAAGTGATCATGGAATGAAACGACTGAATTATTTGGGTTATATGATGACACTCTGTTGAAAAGTTATAATCATCATGTCGGTAGCATTAAAAATTGGAAATGATGTTCAAAAGAAGGTAGAATCAAATATGTATTTGTCATGTTCTTTATTGAAGTTGAAAATCATAAATTATATGCCTTCATCTTGTTTTGGATATAAAATTATCTATCAACATTTATGATTTTTTTTTTTTTTTGGTGTTTTAAGCACCGCTTTTGGGCTATTTCGTGGCGGCCAGTTTTTATTAGTGGAGGAAGCCGGAGTGCCCGGAGAAAACCACCCACGTTCGATAGGAAAACTGACAATCCTAGTCAATTAAGATTGGAGTCGAGTGCACCCGCACGAGCAGGGTTCGAACTCACAATCTCAGTGTTGACTGGCTAGTGATTACAGAAGTAACTACTTAGACCACTCGGCCACCGAGGCCCCTCAACATTTATGATTACTAACCTTATGGTCATATCTTTGGCTGCATTTGATGTAGCAAATATTAGTAATTATTTTTGTGAATATGTAGGTTGTGGAACATGAGTGTAATGGAAACTGAAGGAAACTGGTTCATGAACAAAATCTTTGAAAAAAGAAATACGGCTCGATACTTATAATAACAAATGTATCATCCCACCATATAATAATAATTTCAAAACATAACCTCAAAAATAAAAGAAATAAACACATTACAGCAAAATATATACCAAACAATGGCAACCATAAAGGCTTTGATTTGTACCCATACAGGGGCCTCCATGGCTGAGTGGTCTAAGTAGTTCAACTACTGTATCACTAGCCTGTCAACACTCATCTTCGCTAGGCAAGGGTTACGATACACTTCCCTCCTCTCCACCCTTGGCAGATTAAGCCAACATTTGAAATAACAATGTTGCGCCATCTATCGGTAGATTAAAGTCACGCCCATTCGGAATACATTATTCTTGACCAATGGTAGCACTTGAACTCTTCAATTTGGAGGTAAAAACACGGTAGCGTCTAGATTCTACACACTTGGTAAAGCAGGAAACGAAAATATACGTTGACATTCATGCATTTGTGCAAGAAACATACACAAGAACTTCTTTTAGTTGATTAAAAACATTCAAATTGTCACTAAATATAGTCATATGTTTAGGGATGTAAAGACTTGTTGCACAATAAGCATGTGGCAATTGTTTACATACACTTTCTACATTTACACGTGATCATGTTATAGGCGCTTTTTGATTGGATGCAGCGAGTTTCGACTGCAACCAATGAAAATCATTACCTTGTGTCTCCGAAATTCTATCTCAATCTGCCAAGGGTGGAGAGGAGGGAAGTGGATCGTAACCCTTGGCTAGCGAAGATGGTCAACACCGCGGTTGTGAGTTTGAGCCCTGCATGTGGCAGGTGCATTCAACTCCAATCTTTAAATTGACAAGATAGTCAGTTTTCCCACCGAAGGTTGGTGGTTCTCTCCTGGCACTCCAGCTTCCTCCTTCAGTAAAAACTGACCCCCACGAAATAGCCAACAGTGCTGAACACCAATCAATCAATCAATTAATTGTACCAATACTAAAGGAGTATTACTGAAATTTGCATGATGTATGAAATAAGCATTTGTCATTTTGGGGCCTTTTATAGCTTGATATGCTGTATGGGTTTTGCTCATTGTTGAAGGCCGTACTGTGACCTAACATCATTGTCATTTTGTCTCTTGTGGTTAGTTGTATCATTGTCAATCAAGCCACATCTTCTTATTTTTATATTGAAACATCTCATATTAAATGAAATTTAAGTGTTTTTAGTTTAGGATTATTTTCAACTTTGAAATTGTTTTCAGAAAATTCAGTGGCAGAGTGGTCTAAGTAGTCCAATTACTGTATCACTAGCCTGTAAACACTAAGTTTGTGAGTTCCAATCATGCATGTGGCAAATGCATTCGACTCCAATCTTAATTGACTAGAATTGAGTTTTTCTACCAAAGGTGGGTGGTTCTCTAGAGCACTAAACTATACATCTGCTATGATTTGATTCCTTCAAAACCAATTTAAAAGAGTCATATGTGTGTGTAGGGTACATTGTACACATACATGTATATAAGCATTTGGCATAGTTTTCCATATGTTTTAGTACATAGATATACCTAAAGATGTGTTCCCAAGGACAAGTTCGACATTACACACCGGACATTTGTTGACTCCCAAAGGATTACAGTCTGCATTCAAAATATATGATCCTGATGGTGCAAGCTTTGAGAACAAATGATGGGAAATGATTGCCTGTATTTCTGCTTCAGTTTTTGCCTCCTGAACTTTCAGTAAATGTCTGATATTATCTTCTGTTGAAAAAGAGAAAATCATATTTGTAGTAATTGTGAAATGACCTTAGGGAGCTACCATTTGATTTTTATGGGGGGGCTAGGATGAAATTTGAAAAAAAAAGGCAGGTCATGAGTTTTGAGTAAAAAAAAAGGCAGGACAGGAGTTTTGAGTAAAAAAAAGGCAGGATGAGCAACTTGGCAAAAAAAAAAGCCAGGATGACAATTTATGTAAAAAAAGTCAGGATAAACTAATAAAAAAAAAAGGCAGGACCGAATAGAGTTAAAAATAAAAAGGCAGGACAGAGATTACAACTAAAAAAAAATGCAGGACAAATTTTTTCATCCTAGCCCCCCCATAAAAATCAAATGGTAGCTCCCTTAGACATACAACTTAACCATACATGTATTCAATGAAGCAGAACATGTAAGTGACTTATTTGTTTCTGGGAGCTTACCTACACTCCAGAAACTACCCTACACTTTAACAATTTATAGAATGACTGAAATATAAACAATCCAGTTAAGCTCTTTTCACCTGATTTTATAGTCTGTTCTTATCATGCTTATGTTGTGCTGTAACACCACTTCCCCACTGCCAGGTTAGGGGATGGTTGAGCACTCACAAACAAGTTCAACCCCGCCTCATTCTTTTTGTGTCTGTCCCAAGTCCCTAGCCTGTAGTTTTTGTTGGTTCATGTCTTGTCATATTTGTTTTTCGTAAATTGTTTTGTTTTGCATTAGGTCTTTAGTTTTCTCAATTGAATCGTTTCATATTTTTCATGTCAGGGCCTTTTATAGCTGACTATATGGTATTGGTTTTTCTGATTGTTGACGGTGGTATGGTTGCCCATAATTGCTTACATCGACTTCATTTGAACTTTGGTGGATAGTTGTCCAATTGGCACATCGCCTTATTTTTATAATGTTGCTCGCCGGATGTGACGGACTAAGTTTTTGATATAGTAAGCAATCTGAGGAAGGTGTTTGTACAGTCTTAGGACAAAAGTGTTTCAACACTTGGAAAATACCCTAAATGTTAAATATAAAAAAAATTTATATGTCAGACTTTGCATAAAAAAGGATTTTGCTGATCTTCATTATCTTCTAGTACAATTTATTAAATATTTGTAAAAAAAAAATATTAAAACTTATACATGTTATATTTGCATTGGTAAAACAGTCAGTCAGGGGTACTACTTGTACAAGTTATTTTTATTTACTTGAAGAAGTAAATACTAATTTACTTATAAAAGTAAATTTGTAAGATACTTACAATGTATACAAGTGTATTTTATTTACTTGTATAGGTAAATTATTTTATTGACTTACATGTAGTTATGTCCCTTAGACATTCAGATTTTTACTTATGGGACAATGAAAATCTCATTTGTCTGTTATCTTCAAAACACTACTCATCTACAAACCTCCAAGGGGCAATTTTTGAAGGCCTTGTGCAATTACTTAAGATCTTTGTGCAAGTAGTTTCTTTGTTGAATTAATGAGATGAAACCTTGAACTCTAATAAAAAATTATAAGCTAACCAGAGAAAAATTGTTTAAGGCATGTTTTTACATCCCAAAAGTTGAGAATTTTAGGGATTGTAAAAAAAAATTACTTATACAAGTAAATTTTTTGAGAAAATTAAGGGGAGATTATTCAAACCTTATAAGAAAATATGAATATATAACAAATTTACTTATATAACTATATTATTATTTACTTCTTCAGGAAAACAAAAATAACATGTACAAGTAGTACCCCTGACTGACAGTCATGACAGTCAAAAGATAAACTTTTAAAGTCTCTATCCTGAAAATGAATTAACTTGGAAAACATTAGGAGTCTTGTATGCATGCACAATTTTTAGGTGTGTTTCATTTGATAGCCTATGGCCTCTGTTATACCATATGAGAGTCTGGTGTGATATGCAGTTTAAAGAATGAAAAATTAACATGATAGAGAAAAAGGGCCAAAAAAAAAGAATAGGCTACTAAAAATTAAACTAGAGGCTCTAAAGAGCCTGTGTCGCTCACCTTGGTCTATGTGCATATTAAACAAAGGACACAGATTGATTCATGACAAAATTGTGTTTTGGTGATGGTGATGTGTTTGTAGATCTTACTTTACTGAACATTCTTGCTGCTTACAATTATCTCTATCTATAATGAACTTGGCCCAGTAGTTACAGTGCAAAATATTTTGTAAAAATTTACAAAAATTTACAAAATTTATGAAAATTGTAAAAAATTGACTATAAAGGGCAATAACTCCTTAAGGGGTCAAAATTGACAATTTTGGTCATGTTGACTTATTTGTAGATCTTACTTTGCTGTACATTATTGCTGTTTACAGTTTATCTCTATCTACATGTATAATAATATTCAAGATAATAACCAAAAGCTGCAAAATTTTCTTAAAATTACCAATTCAGGGGCAGCGACCCAATAACGTGTTGCCTGATTGGTCTGAAAATCTCAGGGCAGATAGATCTTGACCTAATGAACAATCTTATCCTTGTCAGATTTGCTCTAAATGCTTTGGTTTCAGAGATATGAGCCAAAAACTGCATTTTACCCTATGTATTATTTTTTAGCCATGACGGCCATCTTGGTTCGCGGGCGGAGTCATCGGACATATTTTTTAAACTAGATACCCCAATGATGATTGTGGACAAGTTTGGTTAAATTTGTCTTAGTAGTTTCAGAGGAGAAGATTTTTGTAAAAGATTACAAAAATTTACGAAAAATGGTTAAAAATTGACTATAAAGGGCAATAACTCCTTAAGGGGTCAACTGACCATTTTGGTCAAGTTGACTTATTTGTAGATCTTACCTTGCTAAACATTATTGCTGTTTACAGTTTATCTCTATCTATAATAATATTCAGGATAATAACCAAAAACGGCAAAATTTCCTCAAAATTACCAATTCAGGGGCAGCAACCCAACAACAGGTTGTCAGATTCATCTGAAAATTTCAGGGCAGATAGATCTTGACCTGATAAACAATTTTACCCAAGTCAGATTTGCTCTAAATGCTTTTGTTTCAGAGATATAAGCCAAAATCTACATTTTACCCCTATGTTCTATTTTTAACCATGGCGGCCATCTTGGTTGGTTGGCCAGGTCACCGGACACATTTTTTAAACTAGATACCCCAATGATGATTGTGGCCAAGTTTGGTTTAATTTGTCCAAGTAGCTTCAGAGGAGAAGATTTTTGTAGAAGTTAACGACGACGGACGACGGCGACAACCACGACGACAGACGACGGACGCCAAGTGATGAGAAAAGCTCACTTGGCCCTTTTGGCCAGTTGAGCTAAAAATTGGGAAAAATTCACACGATAAATAAAGAAAAATTGGCCAAAAAAATAAATAGGGTGCTAAAAAATAAACATGATAAAGGGCAAAAAGTAAATAGAGAAAAATAATGGTCTAAAAAAAATTTTAAATATAAAAAGAAGACCCCCCTCCCCCCAAACCCCCATCCATACGCTCTTATATCGAATAATGATCAGCTTCTGATGGTAGTCTTGCTGTTTTTCTTCAAACAGTGAGTCATAAAAATATAGTTGTGTCACAAGAAAATAGGCGTGATACAAAGTATGAAGCATCTGACTTGTCACTTATGGGCAAGATATATGTACAATTTACCCCCGCCACATTCTGTATGTGCGTCTCTCAAGTCAGGAGCCTGTATTCAGTGGTTGTCGTTTGTTGCTGTATATCATATTTGTTTTTCATTCATTATTTTGTACATACATGTAAATCAGGCCGTTAGTTTTCTCGTTTGAATTGTTTTACATTTGTCATTTTGGGGCCTTTTACAGCTGACTATGCGGTATGGGCTATGCTCATTGTTGAAGGCTGTACGGTGACCTATAGTTGTTAATTTCTGTGTCATTTGGTCTCTTGTATAGAGTTGTCTCATTGGCAATCATACCACATCTTCTTATTTTTATAATAAATGTACCCAATATGCACATTGAAAAAAAAATGATAGGAATTTAATTACATGTACTAACTAGCTTGCGTTACACATAGTCCAAATAATTATGTCTTAAAAGGCGATTTTCATTTTTTTATTCTTGATGCCTTCCTACGACTTCATAGACATTTAAGTTTAACACAGAAACAATTTTTCAGCTGGACTTTGAGAGAAAATTTTGCTCAACTTTGACACCTAATTACAATTATCAATAAAATAAATTGTTCATTATTTTGTACAAAAATCAGGCTGTTATTTTCTTGTTTGGATTGTTTTACATTTGTCATTTCGGGGCCTTTTATAGCTGACTATGCGGTATGGGTTTTACTCATTGTTGAAGGCCTTATGATGAGCTACAAAAAAAAAATGTATAGTTGTTAATGTCTGTGTCATTTGGTCTCTTGTGGAGAGTTGTCTCATTGGCAATCATACCACATCTTCTTATTTTTATATCTGTAGGTACGTATTGCTGACATGCAACACCATGAACACCTAAAAAAACATGTGATTTGTAGCCCCGTTTTTGTGATATTCGGTGTTATGGCAAAATCATTTTGACAAGTTTGATAGCCGTTTGGTATCTTCCGCCTTTCTTTTACAAGTCTTAGGTGAATGAACTTTGCCACATCATGATCATCATGACAATTTTTTAATTATTATTCATTTGGTCAAGATAATTAATATAACACTAAAGGAAACTAATTTATGTTTTTAAAATGTCATTTCATTAAAAAAATTAAAACAATAAAAAAAAACTTATTTAATTAGCAACACACTAACTAAAACACGATTAAAAAATTATTCAACACGAAACCAATAAAAAGGGTGTGCGAATGTGAAAGGGGGCAAATATGAAGGGGAGCGAACATGATATTGGGCGAATGGACCCAGATTCTGTCGTGTATGTCTGAATGTCACAAGGCTAAATGTTATAACATAACAGAAAGAACTGAATGTTCAATGACATTTGTATAGATGATTGGCGCGACTAGGAGTCAACCTGTGTAACTGCTTCATAAAGAACAACTCGAAATTGGTGTTTAGGCTGTATTAAATAAGGCAGGAGACAAGCAAAAAAATAAATTAGCTTTTCAAGAAGTCATTATAATTTAGACAAGTTACCATCTCTCAAGAATTCTTCCAAACTGACTGTTGCATCATCAACACAGTTGGATTCTCCACAACAAGATTTGACAATGTCTTCAATAGAGTCTATCCAAAACCATGGCAGTGGAATAGAGTTGTCAGAACGAATGTCGTACTTGACGAAGGCATCAGAAAATTCAGCCGAATAAGCAGCATCAGTCGCTTCTATTTTCACGTTAGAAAATAATCTATCAGTAACATTGTAACAAGGAGTTTTTAGCGCTTTCAATTTTGGTTCTGCAGGTTCTTTAACACTGAAGCACAACCTCAAAATTTTCTTGAGGAAATCATCGGACACTCCCGCCATCAGGGATATCAGGGACAGGGGATGGTAATGGTCTGATTTCTTGTGATATTCTGCAGTCCTCCGTAATTCTTTGGAGCACTTCCAGTAGTGGTAGTATAGATCTGTGTGAACATCGTTTTCGATTTATGGTTTACATAACCAGATGTCTTATTTACATAACTAATCTTGTCAAATGTCAAATTGTGAAAAGTATAAAAACTATAAAACTTAAAAAAAAAGAAAGAAACAAAGTGAAAACCAATTATGATGAGTCTGAATGAGATCTGCAGAATAGAGACTTATGGTCCTTCAACCTGTCTGTACTGCATACAAGTTTCTCATATTGTCCAAGACGTCTTCACATTAAATCCGTTGTATGCATGTGTACTGATTGATACTCGAGTCTGGTAGAACATTATTCATTTACTATAGTTGTAGCTTTCAGTAACTGCGACTACTATTAGATAAAAACTTCATGTAAGGTTCCACTAAAGTCAAAATATAGGACACTTCATAAACATCTAAACTTTGCCTGTATTTTTCAACCTATAATGAGTAAAGTCCTACACTATGAGAACATTATGTTCATTTAAACATACTTAACATATACACACTGTGTAAATAAACTTGAAATTGTTATGCTGTGGCCAAACCGGTTCTTGGGGTGAACACTAAATTTTCAAAAAAATCTGGAGGCCTGCGAGACGACTTAATTTGCTTAAAATTGGTATGGACGAATACTGTTACATGTAATGCAGGGCAAGCTCATGTTGATTTGTCATATACATATGTTTTAATGGCATATTTGTCCAATTTCTGTATTGTAACTTCGATATTTGTTCACCTAGATACATGAAAATTACTGGAACTCGAAAATCAATACATTTTCTGAAAAATCAACATGAGCTTGCCCTGCATTAGATATAACAGTATTCGTCCATACCAATTTTAAACAAATTAAGTCGTCTCGCGCAGGCCTCCAGATTTTTTTGAAAATTTAGTGTTCACCCCAAGAACCGGTTTGGCCACAACATAACAATTTCAAGTTTATTTACAATTTCCACAGTGTGTATATGTTAAGTATGTTTAAATGTACATATGTTCTCATAGTTTAGGACTTTACTCATTATAGGTTGAAAAATACAGACAAAGTTTAGATGTTTATGAAGTGTCCTATATTTTGACTTTAGTGGAACCTTAAGCGTGTTGTTTTACTCGGGGTCAAGTCGCCCCGAAAAGTGAGTCATTTCGCCCCTATTTGTTCCTAAATTAAAGTTTATTTTTAAAGTATATTGCGTATTGTAATATCATTCTGGTTTCATGGTGAAGGATAATTAAAAAGTCCACTCTTTCAATAGGATCGTTCATTTTTTACTCGAAGGAGACTAGGGGGAAATAAAGGCGGGGGGCTTTTGGTAATGGATAGGGGATATCCAACTTTTCAACACTTAAGATGGGGTAAGGGGGGGGGGGGGGGCGATAAAGGTCACAGTTTACAAGATTTGGGGCATTCTGTATTTCAAACATGCCATGAAAATCTATAGCTAATGATAATATGATGAATACACATCAGTATCGATTTTTCAGTAGAAGTGTCGAACATTTGATTCATCTGATTCATATGAGATGTCATATCTTTATCTCGTATGTCATCATTTTTGGCTTCAGACTTCATATCAATGTTTGTTTCTTGCGAGTCTCTGTTTGTTGGATTTGAAGAACGACTATAACAGGGACTGAAGGTTTGATGCCTTAGTTTTTGCATGTTTTCTCGAAGCTTTTCTGAAAATACCTCCTTCCATGTGATACAAACACTGATTATACTAATCGCTGTTTCCTTACCTGATTAATCGTAAAACTCATGATTGAGCAGGGAGTCAGTCGTGGCATTTTTAACATGTCTTTATGACATGCGAACTCAAGCGAACCACACACAGTATCCCCCCCCCCTTTTCGATCGCAACTTGACAAAAAATCGCATAAAGGTTAGGGACAATGTGATGAAATTGAAGGAATAATAGCCCCTAAAATAAAGAATAGAGAATAATGGGGTGCTAAATTATAAAGAATAGAAAATAATTGGCAAAATGTAATATGAAAAGAAAAAAAAACCCTATAGAAAATCAAAGAATACAGAAACGAAGGACCACCATTCAGACCCTCCTGTATGCATGATTTTTTTTAAAGAATAAAAGTATTGAGAAATATAGGGGTGGGATGAAATTTTTATGTCTTTAAAAGGGGGTGTCTTGAATTTATTTTCCTTCTTCAAGGTTAGGAATTGAAAAAAAAATAAGAGAAATTCTATGTTTCCTCCTAGGCCCCCAATGAAAGAAAATGACAAAAAACATAAGTTATAAGGTCATTTGCACATAAATACGATGGCATCGAATAAAGATATAGATATAAGAAGATGTGGTATGAGTGCCAATGAGACAACTCTCCATCCAAGTCAAAATTTATTAAAGTAAACCATTATAGGTCAAAGTACGGTCTTCAACACGGAGCCTTGGTTCACACCGAACAGTACGCTGTAAAGGGCCCCAAAAATTACTAGTGTAAAACCATTCAAACGGGAGGCTCCCGCAGGGTCAAAAACGACCTGCGACCTCCGGGCTTTTTAGAGGCGACTTCCGACCTGAGGGCCTTCTAAAAACGACCAGCGACCTGTAAAATTTGGAAAAAACGACCTCCGACTTCACCCACGCTAAAAACGACCTTGTCATTTTGACCGAGTTGTTCCTCGGAGAATTGTGTCGGAAAACTACGTTCTTCCCACCAGTAGAACTAGATCGGGAAGAACAATCGGCTGGCGTCATGACCGATTAGGATGGCAGATCTGATAAAATCACATGTCTGATATTAAACATAAATTACTGACTGTTGGTCCCACCAACTATGGTCAGCCATACTGTTTTTCCGGCCATCTGTCACACTTTTGTCTACTTTATTATACTCCACTACACGCAGTAGAGAAGTATTACATGGTTGGGTATCCGTCCGTACTTCCATCCGTTGACCGTCCCGTGGTGGTTACATCCAGATGAAAACTTGAGAACGGATCAAAGATTTATTTCATTTGTTCCCAGTTGTTTAGCACTATAAAGTACAGTCAAGTTCGATTTTCATCTTAAATCAACATAATCAATTTTCAAATAATCAATTTTGAACTATTTGTGACCCTTTTTGTATCTAAGTCCGTTAGAAGTCTTCGTATCTTTGTTTCTAGAACATGATAAGCTATCAAATTGTCAAGTTATGATCATTTTTGGACCATTTTTGTTTCTTAAAAAAAGATTTAAATTGGTCTAGGTTATTGCTTCAAATACACTATGGACACTATGGGCGATGGTCATCACTAGCGCATAGGGCACTAGCTACTAGCGTCTCTGTGTGTGCTCCAAAGAGACAAATGTATCCAAATAAGATGGTGATCAGCTTCATGTTTTATGTCCCGACAACATTGTTGCGGTAAATATAGTTTTTCGGTCTGTTCGTCCATCCGTTCGTTCGTCATGCAGCTACACTTTGGTTTACCTTTGCGTTTAAGATGGTTTCCTAAAAAGTTTCAAGTCGAATCTTCATAAAATTTTGTACCGTACTCTTTATTTATCATGATATGGACTAACAACTGTGTAAAAATGGGGGAGTTCCATCGAAAATGGAAATAAGCGCCGAGCGGGACACCTCTGTCTTCAAAACATTTCCTTGTTGCCATCAGTCTATATATCGCGTTCAGGTATCTCAGTAGGTAAATCCAGCTCTACATCCCCGTTGATTTTATAAGAGTTCTGGGGACTTGCTCAATATGAATATTGTGTTGGATTAGTGAAATACTGAATGTTTGGTTGAAACTACTGTTCTGAAAAAATCGGAAAGTTCAAGTCCTGTTTTGGTCACAATATGGAAAAGAACGGATATGGGTTAATGGCACGAAGACATCACATATTGATCATTAAATGCCACACAAAAATAAATCTAGAGCTAACGACACGAACTTCAATAGAACAGGAACTTCCCACTTACAGACAGCCATCCCTGGATGGCCTCAAACAAAACAACAACCGAACCCAAGGGCACAGCAAAATGTCCAAATATCTAATTTAAAACTAAAAGGTTTAATCAGGAACATATATATCCCTGGTTTAATAACATAAGAATCGACACAACAATGACTTAAATGGATCCTTTAAATATAAAAACGACTTCCGACCTCTATGTTGGAAAAAACGACCTGCGACCTGTACATTTTCCTTAAAAACGACCTCGCGACCTTGCGACGAATTTAAAAGCGACCTTGCGACCTGAGGGGGGTACCCTGTGTGAGCCACAAACGGGAAAACCAACGGTCTAATCTATATAAAAAACGAGAAACGAGAAACACTTATGAAATAGATTAGAAATACGTACAAAATAAAAGCTTTTATAAATGTTATGACTATAGTTATCCATAAATAAATGTAAAATTATATTATGTTTGAAAAATTGATTCTACACAATGTATATTGACAATATAATATTTCCATGATTCTATTAACCAAGGATTTGTATAGTAAGATCTTACTAAACAAATCCTTGAATTAACTTTATTTGGAACTTATTAAAGAGAGGTGTCAACAATGATAATGATCGACTGGTAATTAACGATTTGACGCATTATAGTGAAACTTATTAATCACTTGTCGATGCATATTTTCGCTCACAGAAAGAATAAACAAGATTTTTATACATGTCTAGTCATAACAAACCAGTTGCTCATTATATTTCATCCAAGGGTTAAAAATTTATATAAATTATTCCTGGCCACATAAAAACTGGAATTCACACATTCTAGATTTAAAAATCATTAATTCACATGACACAAGAGCGAACGGAAATCGAGGCGAAATGACTCGGGGTGCGATCAGGCCCGGGAATCGAGGCGAAACGACTCTGCATGCGAACGGGAATCAGGATGAAACGACTTGGAGTCCTTTGTATCTTTTGTTTTAATGTTTTTGTGCTTCGTAACAATCTATTTAGTTAAGCTATTTCCAACTGATTTTCAAAGTTTGTTTGTATGTT